AGGTACTACGGTTCCCAGTATCACAGACTCCAATCGATAATGGTAAAAGTTTTCACGATTACACTCGATCAACCGAACCATTTTCGAAAGTGTCTCAACTGAGCGGTGATTCTCGAGTCAACTTAGTCGGGACTCACTCCCTATAAGCCTCGTCGAATATATCACCATCCTATAATAATGTCACTCAAGTCCGGGTGTAGGACTTATCTCACAACACAGTAACTCCCAAGCAGGTACCCTGAACAACGTATATACAAATGAGTAAAAATATTAATGAAACAAATATATGAAGAAAAATAAACAAGATAGGGATAACCCTCAAAAATTAGGACTCCCCAGTGAAGTCGCCATTTTCTGTTGCGGTGAAATTTGGATGTCAAGCTATTGATTAACTTGAATCTTAATTCATTTACAACCGGTCTTTGATTTATCCGAAGGAAAGGTTAAAGAAAGGAAAAACCTAAAAGGGAGAGATCTAAGGTTCGGGGGTTGGTTAAATTTAGGGAAGGTATTAGCACCCTAAACTTCCGTAGTACTCTACGGGAACCTTTTGTTTATTTTTTTTTATTTATTTCATTAATTATTTTGCTTTAGGGTATATACAAAGGATTGAAAATTAAAAAAGACCTAGGGGTTAATTCTAAGTTTACTCGGCAAGACATCGCATCTTGTGCCTACATATCCTTACGGGAATGGAATCAGAGTAACTGTAGTTCCCCTCAAAAGGGAGGTTAGAAACGTCTTGACTGTGGCCAAGGTTTCAATGGGGAATAAACGTATCTTAGGGACACGCTTACGCGGAGTGTAGAAACTCCAATATCTACTTTGTAAATTGTTAAGTGAATTAGGGTTAGGTTAGGGATTCCGCGGCGGGAAACCCTAAAATGAGTGCGGCGACTCTTTGACCTAAAGCTAGGGGTAGTTTTGTAATTTTTGTCCACGGCGAGACATTCGTGAAAAGTTAGGGTTTGTAAAGGGTTTGAAGTTTTGAGGACTATTGGCGCGGCGGCCAAGCGGCTAGACCTAATCCTTCGGAGGAATGCAATGAGACAAATTAACGATGCAAATGCGCGAATTTAAACCATACAAACAGCGGAAATTAAAGTGCGGAAAGGTAAACGCGATAATTTGTTTGCGAAGTTACAAATGAGAAACAGATACAATTATAATACAACTTGAATTGAAAAACACATTAAAATAGCTAATAGCAATGTAACAAACTGCACATTGAATACACAACGTTAGTAGACAGAGTCAGACAGTAATCAGACGAGTTATGAAACGGAAGTGCGAAAGTTATAGATATTCTTTGTTGTTTATTTGTGATATATAAAAAAGCTTTTGATTTAAGTTAAAAAAAGGTTTTAATATTATTAAAAAAACTTTTCAAAAATAGTCTTAATTTAATTATCTAACAAAAAGGTTTTATTTATAAAAAAAAGGTTTAATGTTATTATTATATATTTTTTAAAAAAACATTTCTAGTTATTATTTTAAAAAAAGATATTAGTTATTATTTTAAATTTATCTAAAAAAAAGTTTTTCTTAAAAATAATAGGTTTTCATATTAATTTGGAAAAGATGTTAATGTTATTTATTTTAAAAAACAGATTTTTATATTATAACAAGTTTTAATAAATTAATGATAACAATAATAATAATAATGGTAATAATAATAATAATGATAATAATAATAAATAATGATAATAATAATAATAATAATAATAAATAATGATAATACTAATACTAATAATAATAATAATAATAATAATAAAGCAATAATGAATTTTAAATGTGCCAAATAACCCAACAATGTTGCTAACGCAGAAATGCGCTCATCGCAACCAGATCTAAATCGGACGAAACAAAATTTATCGCAAAGAAAAAGAAATTAAGCAAAAAACAGTATTATTGCTCACACAAAAATACGGTCATCGCAATCAGATCGAACTAACACAAATGTCACGCGTCATGCACACAAATGTGCAAACATCGTATCGACATAATTCGATCAAAAATTAATCTTATATATATATAAACTCTAACAATTTAAAAATTATAAATATATAAACGTAACAGTAATAGATGAAGAAAAAGAAATAACGGTAATAGATGAAGAAAAACAAAATAACGGTAAAAGATGAAGAAAAAGAAATAACGGTAAACGACACTCACTCCTCTTAGGTTTTTTTCATTCTCCCCTTTTTCAACAAAGCGACACATGTATATATAGGGAACAAATTAGGGTTAACACCAAATTATCAATAATGTCCCTAAAGCCCATTTTAAAGCCCAAACTAAATAATTAACTAAGAAAAAATACAATTTAAATAATTTAAAATAATTAAAATAAACTTAAAATAACCAAATTATCAATAATGTCCCTAAAGCCCATTTTAAAGCCCAAACTAAATAATTAACTAAGAAAAAATACAATTTAAATAATTTAAAATAATTAAAATAAACTTAAAATAAAACTAATAATCCTATTGATTCCTAAAATCAAAAATATTATAAAAAGAACAAAATTTTTCCAATATTTTTTATTTTATGATTTTTTGGATATTTTTATGACTAATTTAGAAAAAGGTGAAAAAAATAATATTTAAAAAAAATGATTTAATTAAAATACGAAAATAATAATTAAATAATAATAAAAAACTATTTTTGTTATTTTTTAATGAAAGATAGAAAAATTTAGAGTAAAAATAATAAAAAACAAAAAAGTGACAAAGGTGAGATTCGAACTCTCAACCTCTCACACTCACAACTCCTTACACATGTCCTCTTGCCAATTGTGCCATTTTTACTTTTTAGAAGAAAAAAATGCATGTCATATGATATTTACCTGCAAAAAGTCAAACGACTACACAAATTTGTTAGTAATTGATTAAATGCAAGAAAAATGCAATGAAATGCGACGACAAATCTTAGGGCAAAATTTGGGGTATTACACTTATGAATTCTGATAACTAACACCATGTCTCTTTTTGGCCTCTGACCAAGACTGCTTCAGGTTCTTCTTACCAAAAGATGCTTTCAAAGCTTGTTCTTCCTCTCTTTTAAAGTTTCTCTCAGTCAAACGAAACTCTTGTGCCTCTAGCCTACATTGAAGTTCTTCAATTTTCATGATGGTGAGGTCCTTAAAGTGTTGAATTGCTACAACAATGTAATTAAATTGAGGAGTAAGTTATCTCAATATCTTTTCAATGATTACTTGTTCAAAGATATTTTTCCACAAGATTTCATCTCATTTGTGATCAAAATCACTTGGAGATGTAATCAGGTACATTCTCATTGTTCTTCATGTTGAGATTCTCATATTGCTTATGTGGAGATTGAAGCTTCACCTTCTTCATTGATGCATCATCGTCGTAGCACCGTACCTGTGTTTCATGCGCAACCTTCACAATCATTGAATTAACGATCTTCTCAAACACATTTGTATCCACACACTTATGGATATAGAATAATGTCTTTTGATCCTTTTTCCTCGTTTCTCTTTCCATGTTTCTCTGTGCTTATGTAGCATCTAGTGCAATTGTCGTGTAACCATCATTGACGAGATCAAGAACATCTTGAGTGCCAAACAATACGCGTATCTGAATCATCCACCGATTCCAATTCTTTTCATCAAATACTGGAAGATTTGTGTTCAGGCTACCCTTTCCACTGTTCATCTTCGTTCTTGCCCAAATTCACTCAGATCTCACCTACACTCGTGTTTCCCTAATCCCTCATAATCAATAAATTTGATTATGTTTCAATTCAGATCTCCAATTCAATGTGAATTGAATAAATAAAATCAATCACGCACGCCTTACGTACACTTGTGATTCCCGTTTTTGAATATAAACTGGAGCTCTAGATACCAATTATTAGAGTACAAGTTAAAGATGAAAAAGATGGAGGAGACAGAAAATTGAGTAACTACTTTTTACTCTCTAATTGACAACGGTTACAATGAACTCTATTACAAATTAACACTTGAATTTAGTATTTACATCATCAGAACAACTTAATAAAATTTAAATTAAATCTAAATGTAACTTAAATATGAATTTGAATTATACTTTAATAAAAATGATGCGAATAAAGTAGACAAACTCATTTATATTAGAGGTTAGAAGTAACAGAAAGTGGTGTACAAAATCCTTTCCAATATATTTTAGATACGATGGTTGTCATGAATAATTTGAGAGAATCTTTTTAACACTGTTTTTTTTTTTCTATTCGACAAATATTGTTTTGACAAAACATATATAAATATAGATTTTATATTATAGTATCAAAATTCGCCTATAAAAAAATATATTTTAAAAGTATTATAAATTTATAATAGTCTTTGTCTTGATATTGTTTTAATCTAACTTTTCCTATTACTGTTGTTGAGGAAAAAACGGGTAGAATATTTTATAATAAAAGATGTTGAAATATTGACCTATTAAAATAAAAATTAAAAGTCATAACTAAAATAAGTAAAATTATAAAAGGTGGGAATTAAAGAGATAAGACAAAATTTAAAAATAAATAAAAATATCATATTTTTCTTAATTTTGTTAAAAAAAAAGTAGAATGTTAACAAGTTGACTCAATAAAATAAAAATAAAAAATATTAAGTAAAAAATATAAAATTAGAAAGTGTGAGAAATAAAAAGATAAGATAAAATTTTAACATAAAGGTAAAAAAATTCTATTTTCCTCTTATATTTGTTAAGAAAAAACATTAAAAAAAACAACAAATATATTGTTTTATACTATATTAAAATAAAAATTTAAAGTGAAAATCACAACAACTTAAATTTAAAAAGGAAAAGAATTAAAGAGATAAAGTAAAATTTAAAAATAAAATAAAAAAATGGAACCGGGTTAGAACGACACGTAAGTAAAATTGTATATTATGATGTTTATATACCTAACGCAATAACTAGATGAGATTCTCTATATAAATTACATAACCATACACACACACTTAGATCAAACACAAAACATTTGAAGCAATGGATTCTCTTCCTTTCATTACTCTTTTCTACTTATTCCTTTCATTTCTTCCCCTATTATCTTCTTCTACATTACTCTTTCAGGTATTTTTTTCAACACAAACATATACATTTCATGAATAAACAATGAATCTCATTGCATGTATGTATATAATGAACGTATTTTTTTCATATAGGGATTCAACTGGGAATCAAGTAGCAAAGGAGGATGGTACAACTCTTTGAAGAACACTATTCCTGACTTAGCGAATGCCGGAATCACACATGTTTGGCTCCCTCCTCCTTCTCAAAGTGTTGGACCTCAAGGGTATCTTCCTGGAAGGCTATACGATCTTGATGCATCGAAATATGGAACAAAAGATGAACTGAAGTCACTGATTGCCGCTCTCAACGATAAAGGAATCAAGTCTGTAGCTGACATAGTCATCAACCATAGAACTGCAGAGAGCAAAGATGATAGAGGAATTTATTGCATCTTCGAAGGTGGAACTCCAGATTCAAAGCTTGATTGGGGTCCATCTTTCATTTGCAAAGGCGACACCACTTATTCGGATGGTAAAGGAAATGACGATACCGGCGAGGACTATCAAGCTGCACCTGACATTGATCATCTCAATCCACAAGTACAAAAAGAGTTATCCGAATGGATGAACTGGCTCAAAACCGAAATCGGATTTTCCGGTTGGAGATTCGATTTCGTCAAAGGCTATGCTCCTAGTATAACCAAAATTTACGTGGAGCAAACTAAACCAGATTTTGCAGTTGGAGAGTATTTTAACTCACTTTCTAACGGTAATGACGGGAAGATTAACTATAATCAAGATGCTGCTAGAGGTGAACTTGCTAACTGGGTTGACGGTGCTGGAGGCGGTGTTGTTAGCGCATTTGATTTCACCACCAAAGGAATTCTTCAAGCTGCTGTACAAGGAGAACTATGGAGGTTGAAAGACTCAAACGGCAAACCACCTGGATTGATCGGAATAAAACCAGAAAACAGTGTAACATTTATCGATAACCATGATACAGGTTCAACTCAGAAACTTTGGCCATTTCCTTCTGATAAAGTAATTCAGGGTTATGCGTATATTCTAACACATCCCGGAACACCATCAATATTCTATGATCATTTCATTGATTGGGGTTTGAAGGATGAGATAACGAAATTGGCTGCAATTAGACAGAAGAATGGGATAAACGAGAAGAGCAGTGTCAACATTCTAGCTGCTGATGCTGACGTTTATGTAGCAAAGATAGATGACAAGGTTATTGTGAAGATAGGACCAAAAACGGACATTGGAAATCTTGTTCCATCAAATTTCCAAGTTGTTGCTTCTGGCAAAGACTATGCTGTTTGGAGTGGATAAATTGAGGACAATATATAAAATTTAGTTTTCGTTATAATGTATTGTATGTCTTATAAAATAAATGTTGTATGAGATACTATGTATTATACTGATTTTAAGAATATAACATTTACTACGTTACCACTCTTTTACTCCAAAGTGTCACTTCAATGGTTAGAGTTTCATCAATCACATTTTAATTAATAAAAATTTCTCATTCTCAAAACTTAAAAATAAAAATAAAATTATTGTATACAATATTATATTTTAGTCTAATTATATAAACATTTTAAGGAAAGTAAAGTTGGGTTCTTTGTTGTATCTTGCCGGGTTTGGATTCAATAAAATCCGATTTTTGGTAATTTTATAACTTTTACATCTATTTTAGTTTGAATCAATCAATATCTCTCTCTCTCAACATATAACTATTTTAATTACTCTTTCATATTTTAAAATAAATTAAAATTATTAAGCCACGGTAAATTCAAAATCACTCAAGTTAAACTCATATTTCACCCGGTCATATGGTTAGATTTGACCATATATATTTAAATTCAAATTTTATTTTTAATTCAATCAGATCCTTCTCATCCGATTCTAATGTCTGATCAAGTAATCACACCAATATCCTTCTATTCTAGACGAATGTAAATGTGGTTTAGATGCATCATTGATGATTTCTGTTGCTAAGGCAAGACGTCGTTTTTATGAGTGTGAAATGTATAAGGTATTAATCTTATGTACTCAATACTACGTAAAATTCATTTCACCACGGTTGAAAAAGAAATACCATCACGCTTGACTAACCATGGTGAGGTAGGGTGTGATTGTAAGTGTGTAGTTTATAACCACATTCTATTGCTCATTGTAGTAAACTGGAACGTTGATACTTGATCTTGCCAAAATCTTCCTTGAAGTATAATGAAGATTCTCATCTTGATATATAACAACTCAATGTTAAACTGCACTCAAGAAACGATATCTGCACCTGTTACATAAAAAACCAACTACACATGAAAACATTAGATACCCTAATGTATCACTAGTCTCCTTTACACTTAATCTTAAGAGGAGGGTCCAAAATCAAAGGAAAAATCTAAGGATGAAGATGGTGAACAGTGCTAGATAATCTTAACCAACCACTGACATTACGAGGGGTTTGATCGGTAAATTAACAATTGTACTAATCTTCCAATATAGTAATAAGGAAAATTTCTCAAATATTTATCTCAAGTACTGCTTAACGATACATAGTTCGTGCTATAATTCAGTTAAACAAAAGACTTGGCGTTTTGGAATTGTTGTTTAGAAGTAGAAAATAAATTGCAATTAAAAAGTAAACAAAGCAGTTGAATGGTTTAAAATAACATGAGTGAACATGCTAGGGAAGGTGTATGATAGGATTCGTTAACAGTTCTAACTTGACCATGCAAAAACTTAATTCATAATACTTATTATTGGTTCTTAACGGTATTTACTCCTAAGTTCTTAGTGAGTAAACCTTTAAACATTCAAATTAACTCATATGTCCATAATAAATTATAGATGACTTTAAGCATTACTTTATCAAGAACAATCTGATTTTTATAGCTTATTCCTAGTCCTAGGTGATATCTACTACAAAATACTCTCAATTGAGTGTTAACAATGACGGTCCAACTTAAATATTAATCGTAGATCAAACTCTATTTTTTTTAAAGAGAAAGCATTAAGAACAAATTAAGAGTAAATAAAATAAAATATAAATTGTCGTTATTACAAGGTTCAAATAAAAATCATCACAAATTCAAATATGGGACACCCTTAGCATTGAGGGATTTAGCTACTCATAATAATAAAGAAAAACATCATACAAAGTGTAAACATTACAAATCTATAAATGAAATAGGTATTCAATCACGCAACGCTCACGAAAAACTTGATCCAGGTTGAAAATCTGAGTTTTCCAGGCTTCAGTCGTGTTTTCTGCCATAAAAAATATCCACCGTTGAAAATTTGCGTTTTTCGGCTAAATATGAAAATTTGGGCTTTTTTCAAATCTGGGTCATGCCATACGCGTGTTTTCCTCTCTGATTCACGTATTGTTAGATGATAGACTTCGATCTAGAGGGGGTGAATATATCACAAGTTCCAAACTTTTGGCAAAAACTGATTTGAAAAGCTTTATAGCACAGTGAAAACAACTCGAATCAAATCATCTAACCGAGCCTCTATCGAAAAGTCTAAATATGTGTAAAGGTAAACAAACGTACGATAATGAACATAAATTATTCAACAACTATTAATCAAAACCAATTGAATGCAAAACTATACGTAAAGCTTGTTCCAATTGATTAAAACACACAAAACACAATAAGACAATTTATTGAACACTTTGTGTGCAACCGATATCGTTTAGAAATTTGCTTTGTTTTGTTGAACTTAAATTCCCATCATAATCAAACGAATTATAATTAACTCAACAAACACCTATTTTAAAACGTGATAAAAATAATTTCCTAACGAATTGATCAAATAAACAATGAATTCAATAATTTGCAAACATAAATTAAAAGAGATTGAGAGAGAGAGTACACAAGGATTTTTTTTAGGTAGTTCCTAAATTGGCCTCGCTATGGTACGCCTTCCCTAAATTAGAATTTGAATTGAGATAATTGCAATTAAACTTACTTTTCAAAAGTATGTATACAAGAGATGTAGCAATCCAACCCTACAAACCTTATGTTTGATGTTGATTTTAGCACTTCCAGAACCCTTGATCAAAGATTGGTCAAGTAACCAACAATGCCGCTTTAATTCACCTGTTCTTGCTACTTACTTTCAAGGAATCCCTTGTCATAAGACTTTCACCCGGATGAATTAATCCCAAGCACACACTTGTTGAAACCCAAGATTTACCAATACGACTCATCGTCTCACGCTACTGCCTTGCAAGACACCCCTTGTCCCAAGGCTTTCACTCGATCGGACCCGACTTACGTAATCTTGTCCAAAACCTTCAAATCCCTTAAAAATATTAAAGGAAAACCCCGACTCGGTTTTCTTATTTGAAACCCTCAAAGAACTCAACACAATTTACCATACAATCAACCTAAATTGGACGTTATCAACCCTAATCTAGATGACACCCAATCAAAAAATGATTATGCGTATGCATAAAAGAGAGGTTGAAGATGATGAGTATGCTTTGAAATGCTTGTTTCATGTAGATTTTAATCTAGAACCTTACTAAAAATGATGCATGTATCAAGTATTTATATGTATGTAAGTATCAAGCAAAAGAAATGTAAAAGGAATAGAAAATAATGCAAAAAATCAAGATTATCGGTCTATAGGTCGACCTATCAATGTCATGTGTCGACCTATAGGAGTCAACACATGAACATAGCCTATAAGCTTTAATACTACAACATGTGTGTCAACCTATAGAAGAAAATTTTTCTTCTATGTGTCGACCTATAGTCTTATTCTTATGTATCGACCTGTAAGCTGTTTTTCACACCCAAAACTTTGATTTTGATGCATAACACTATTTCTTGACGCTTGAATCTTTTCTAAACCATTTCAACTATGTTGACATGTATCCTAATGCTAACATGCTCATCTAGACTCAGATGATACCGTCTAATGTACGTAAACGCTAAAGTATCCTAGTTTTGACATTATACAAAATACCTCCAACAGAGAGTTGCACTCACCCTCTTTTTGATGATGGAAAAACTTGAGACGATGTGTTTCTTGTCACGAAGGCTCCCCCTGAATATTTGCATCGTAACTTCATACTTGAAAATTCTTCTCCCCCTTTGGTAACATCAAAAAGAGACAATGCGTAATGACTCAAAGCATGACTCAACAAAATGCGTGATAACACAATAGGCCAAAAGGAACAGTCCAAGGCAGCAACACAACACTTCATCTTTTCCACGTCTTCTAGGCACCAGTCTTATACTCTTAAACCAACCTTGACTGTCATTACCATAGTTGTAATCTAAAAATTCACACATCTCGCAGTAAAACTGATAATAATGACCTGAATCCTTTTCTTGGGCCGAAATCATGTGATTTATCCTAGACAAAACAATAACATGATTAACATTCATATCAGTTTGTATAGACATAAGACTCTCTTACACATATGCAACAAAAGCCTTAAAGTTGGAATCCTGAGTAGATATATGCTCCTGCATCAGACAAAACTGCTCCATTTGTGCAACTTCAACGTCACCTCCCCTTTTACAATCCTCCACATACCTCTCATCTTGCCTCAATTGCATATTCTGAAGCATTGTCATGATATTGGAAGTATCAGCAAAACCAATACCAAAAGTTGTACCATGATTATTTCCATGAGAAGCATCTTGCATTGTAGCATCTCCCTCAGGAACATCATGAGGAACTTCCATAGGTTACTCATCATCCATATGAGCTTCAAATGCATCATCACCAAATTAAGCAGGATCATCAAACTTGTAAATCTTCCTGCCATGCTTACCCATGCGAAGATAGTACGCCCCACGGTTGATACCCCAAAAGTAGTTCATGTTTGTTAGGTTACGCTGAGAAAACTCTAGATATGGGCTTGGAGATTTATAGGTAAGATTCGAAAAAGTCTTATCTATCATAGAGGCATAGCATAATGATGTCTCTCTGTTGCATTCTTTGACAATGAACATGCGAGATACAAAGTAGTGAGGCCAATTAATTTTGACCTTGTGTAAGAGAATATAGACCAAATGATTTTTAGAAAAGTCTATTATCAAGAACCTGCCATTCTTTGGTCGCAAGATAAGAGACACCAACCACAACAAAATACTTGGCACCATCTTCAATTGGCCGATGGAAATAGGATCATAACAGTCATCGACACAAGGAGCTTTGAGTATCTCATTCACATGAATACCCCAATAAAACTTTACATGAGTATTGCCATCCATCACTAACGGGTCAGACTCATCATCATAATCACATAATCAACATCAACCATAGTAATACCAAATAAGGATTTCCATAGATCATTGTTA